TGGTCGGGCGGGATGCCTTCCTTGTCTTGGATTTTCGCCTTGACCTTACTTGGTTTTTGTCTGCAGAACACATTTTACACAAATGAACGTTGACATGTTAACACATACATAATATTTCGTCTTATGTGTGTATGTACATGTAAATACCTGTACGTACCTGTATGTACATGTATGTACATGTATGTACATGGATGTATGTATGTATGTATGTAGGTATGTATGTAGGTATGTATGCCAGGCATGTTCAGTATTGTTCAGACATTAGCATAACATCTTACGACATGGCGAAACATAGCACGGCACCACATGCAAAAACGTGTATCGTAAAATGTAGGCTGGATAGCTGGAACTACCTTTGCGCACATAAGCCGGGACATGGTACGTACGGACGAGCTTCTCATTTCTACAGACATTGGAAGTAGGCATAGCAAAATGTCAACACTGAGCATCAAGAATTGAAACCATACGTAATTAAGGCCTGTTTATGATGCAATCAGCATTTACAAACAAAGCAGACATTAGATAAACACGCAAAGGAATCCGAGCAAAACTTCAGGTTAGATGCTCACCTGCATCATTGGCAAGTAGTATGTTAAAGAGTGTTGAAATTTTACCTGGCCCTGAGTGTGCGATGAAGCTTATTGATGATCAAGGTTCGGTAGATCCGGGTAAAGGAATCCGTGATACATGACGGAGTATTAACTTGCATATGAGTTGCTTCGGCATTTGGTTGCGTGCCAATACCAACGAGATTTTAAGGACAATAGCATGAGAAATTTGATAAGCAGTCTGTGAACATCAAGTGCCAAGAGTTTATTCGGCGAATACTGATCTACTTTTCCTGATTATCGAACGCATTCTAGAACATGTATTACTGTATCCGTCATTAATCTTCGATATTGAAAAACTGCACACGGTTTTATACACAGCTACGCCATCGTAAGTTACCGTCAGACTTCAAATTAGTTAGAAGCTCGCCGGCCCTCTTTTGCACCTCCACTGCGAGTTTGTCCACTGGCTGTCACCTTAAAGTTTCTCGGCATAATTATGACACTTCGGTCACGTGGGGAATTTACCATCCCAGTCATCGGGAGTCCAGGCCAGAGCCACTGTAGAGAAAAAACCCGTCTTTCCCGCCACTTCCAGACCAGTGTAAATGGCGCTAGCTGCTCGAGGAGAAAAGTGAGTACCACGTAGCCGGAGGCACTTTCTGTCTCGTCCACTGCTTTGCTTTGGATAAAACTTGAGGAAAAGCCTTGGCATATTCCAAAATGCTCGCACGAACCGGAGGAGGCTGGCTGGGCAGGAACTGTCTGGATGACACCTCTTGTAGGTAGATTTCCATAACTTTGGGAGAGACCCATCTCCCTCTGCGACGTACCAGCTCGCTGTCCTCTGTAACCTGTAGCAAGTGGGTGGCACCCCCGGGTCTAAATGACCCGAGGTCGATTCGCCTCTGACCACCCGTGGGTCTTACGCCCAAGCGGTCCAGAAGCTTATCAAGCCTAGCTCTCAAGGTCTGGTTCGTCCTCGGCCAAAGTCGCTCCTCCTTCTTCAAGTCTCCAAAGGCCAAGCAGACTAGGGAGACCAAGTCGCTCTGCTCCAGCTTTGCCGCCTGATGGCGGGCAACCCTGCACCTCGTCTTGGGCTCCTTTATGCTCAGCAAAACATAGCCATGTAGACCGAGAACATCCTCCGAGAGGACTAGATCCTCACGCTTTGCTGAAGTTGCCTCACCAATCCTCAGCAAAGAAGGCCAGGGCGAAAATACCTGCCTCTCGGATCCAGCCCCAGATGAGGCTGCAGGTGAGCAGGGCCAAAAGCAAAGCTGCAGGCATCGGCACGTGGTGCGTGTATGGTTCCGCCGCCATCCATGCGAAAGCCAAATCTCAGGGGCCCTGCAGCTGCCTCCCAACGCTAGGGCAGAGAGCCCCAATAGCATTCACAGTCTCGCTGTAGTCCCCATAGGGACGCCCGGCCTCGTACAGGTCCCTGCCGTGGTTGGTGAGTGCTTGGCCTATTGCACGGGCTCCCCGTCGTCAAGAAGCGAAGACTCGAACCACGCTCAGCCAGCCACGTGTCAAACTGGCCAAGAAGCCGAGCTCGGTTGGAACGCATTCGTGGCAGCACAGCTCTGCCAGAAGGCAGTGCCGAGGCTGCGCGCCGTGTCTGGCGCTCGGTGTCTGTCTGTCCTCGTGGGAGAAGAGGGCCTTCCCCAGAATAGCCCAGCGTGGCGTCAAAGTCCATCGCTTGGTGCACAGAGTCAGGCCCGCCAAGAGGCAAGGAGGTCGCGGCAGGGGCCTCGTGTGCCACCAGAGCTCAACCAGACTACGAAGGAAACCACCTAGGGCCGGGGACCCAAACCCCACCAAAAGGCAGGCGAGGCGGAGCCAGTTCGCAGAGGCACGGGGGAGCTGACGAAACGTCGAAGGAAGGGGGAGCTCAGGCTCCTGCAAAAGGTCACACAGCGAAAAGGAGGCAGGCGCAGGCAGAGGCTTGTCACGGGTAGGTGCGTCGAGGTGTTCAGTGAGGGCCCTGACGAAGACCGGCAGTGGCCGGGAGACCGGAGCAGAGAGGCACAGGCGAGCACACGGCTGGCGGTAAGTCCAAAGAGTCCAAGGCACCCAAGTCGAGGTCGGAAGCACTCACAAGCAAGGAGCTTGAGCTGCAAGCGCGCGAGTTGCAGGCTGCGGAGGTACCCAAGCCGGGGCGAGGAAGCGACACAAGAGGTGCCGGGCAGCAGGCAGGGTATCCGGACTCTCCAGGCAAGCCAAAACCAAGCAAGGCAAGTCGAGGCAACGCGATGGCGCCACGGCGAACTCTGTTCCGACAGGTGAGGGGGACTAATCCCCAAGGCAGCCAGAGAGGCACGCAAGGGCCCGTCGAGCTTTGTGTAAAAGCCCCGCGAATCCGAAGAGAGCCAAAGTGCCTTAACCACTCGAAGGTCGGGGCGCGTGTAGGTGTAGGCGCCTTTCTTGAGGGATGCGTCTGAGGCAAAGAGACGCCGGTCGTAGGGGACCGAAACGCAGGAGGCAAGGAGCGGGGCCAGCACCGCCAACAACACCAGTTCCTGACGGGCTGAGGGTCCGAGGCAGACAAGGGGAGAGCCGCTGTTTCCCGTGATCTGGTCCACACGCTGCTCAAAAATGCTGCCGGCAACCGCCATGGCGCACCTGCGGAACATGAGCACCGAAACCCAACCCCCAGCCACCATAGAGGAGAGCTCTTCACTCACACACCTGCGGGTAGCAGTCAGGAGGGAAACCAGAGATAAGGCCAGCCGCTTTTCGAGGGGCGAGCCTATGGTCACAAGGCCCTCCTTGACGGCGGCCGGGCTGGAATCACATTCAGCCCCAGCAACAGTGAGGACACTCGCCCCGAAAACGTCCTTATCGTCGCTGCCTCTTATCCCGGCCTTCTCGTAGGCACTCTTCGCCGAGTCGATCACACGAGCCGAGTCACAGGCGCGAGGGTTTGCGAGGCCAGTGGGCTCGCAGCTGATGCAAAAGAGGTCGTCTATCACCACGCCCGACCAGGGCCCGGAAGGATGCACGGTGTGCCTTGCCAACAGCCTACCACCTTCGAAGGAGGGAAGCACCCGGGCTGCCTCAAGAAAGGCGGCATGAGCAGCCGTCGCCAGCTCCACTCCTGCGGCATCACCTTGAAACAGGGAGTTGAAGCATCCATGCACGGGTGCCGTGAGGGCCAGCAGAGCCGACCTCAAGTGCACATTGCCACGAGGGGCACCATCAGGCAGGAAGCGCTGGTAGCAGTCCAAACAAGACTCAGCATGGACCCACCTCACATAATCCTCGTGCGCCGTGGTGCCTGCAAAGTCGCCCAAAACAAAGGCGGGCTTCACCGCATTCGAAAAAGCTCGCTCCCGTGATACCTGGCATTGCGTGTAAAAGTCCTTCCTGTCGGTGCTGCCGCCCAGCAGCTGGTGCGTAAAGCGCGGCACGTGCAGCCGGGTTAGCAGGAAGCCCTGGGGCAACAAGTGAGAAACGCCGTCTAAGCGAGCCTCGAGGCTGTTGGCACCCCGGCGCTCGCCGATCTGACGAAACTTCCCCGGGCTCTTGAAAGAGCCAAAAACGCGGACACACCGAACATCGGGGAGCACGCCTGGTCTCAAAGTCAAGAGGTGCTTTGCGTCCCAGACCTTCAAAAGCTTAAGGACCTCGCGGGGATCCTCATGCTGAAAAGAGGGAGAGGGGCCGCCAGTGCTAGGGAAAGTCTCAAGCAGCACCGGGTCGCGGTAAGCCAGAAGCATGCCAGGGGGGAGGTAGTCCGGTAGGGGCTGATGTCCCAGTTCGCCTCCCCGCGCAACACAATGCAAAGGACGGTAGGGCCGCAGGCAGTCGGGGCTTTCGGGCGAGTGGGGCACGAGCGGCCTCTCCTTAACGATTTCCTGGGCGGCTCCGTCATAAGCCTCAGGCCCAATGCCGCACGAAAGCAAAAAGTCAGTGAGCTCACCAAAGCGCGCGGCAAGATGAGTCCCACGCCTGCCGGCACAAAAGGGTATAGACACCCCTCGGCGGCAACACGCCCTAAGGTAACCGCTAACCCGCCTGCACACGGCAATGTGCAGGGCGTTCGGCGGCCTCCGCAACGCATCTAGGAGCACTGGGCGAAACCCGGCATGCACAAAGTTAAGCGCCATAACGATAAGGTGTGGGGCTCGAGACAGGTGCTGGCTGGATCGTCTGGTGCCCCCTGGCGAGCGGGCGCTCCTCCCCACAGGCACAGCACTGGGCGAAGGAATCGGGTAGAGGGCGGCAGGAGCGGAAGGCACATCGCTCTGGTGGAGGTGAAGTGTGAAAAGGAAGTCCCAGACTTAGGGACCAGGCGAACCAGCGAGGCCGCCCACGAAGTAAAAGTGAATTCGCCATCGAAAGACAGGTCACATGCATCGAGCCCGTCACGGCTCACTTGGCAGGGGGAGTGCCGGCTGCAGCCCGTTTGGCCGCCCACTGTGCCGCCCTTTGCTGCTTCTTCGAAAGAGCTGCCTCGTCCTGAGTCGGAGGCGTGGTGGGAGGAGCAGGTGGCAGGCCTGGGGGCCGCTTCGGCTTCCCCTTTGTCTCGGCCCGGCGGCTGGCTATCAAGTCCATTTCCTGAAGAAACCCAAAAGCCGAGGTTATCCACTTCTGGTCGGCAAGAGGGGAGAAAGGTTGAACCCCAAGGCGATGCCGGCTCCGCGTGTAGAACCTGAGGCGGGTCCTGTTGCAGGGTCAGCAGCCATGCCACCGTCGTCGCACCTTGGCCTAGGACCAACTGGTCCAGGTAAACGGCCAGGAGGCCGATCACGTCGCCAATTAGTGTTCCCGGCCATGATCAGGTCGAAGGCTATAGCCACCTGCCAGGCTACAAGTGCTAGCTCCTTGTGCTTTGCGAACCCGCCATACCGCTCGTAATAACGGCACAGTGAGAAAGGCTCGGTGGAGCCCACCCGTGCGGGGGCCATCCTGAGTGCCTGTAGCCTTTGCCTGGTTTGCGGTGATGCACTCACGGTGTGCGGGTCTAGCACCGGGTCGGCGCCTTGAGCAAGGTGCCCCACCAAAGTCAGGAGGGCCTGGCTCTGAGCCATCATGGCTGAGGTCAAGTCGGGCTGCACGGGCGCGTTGGGCGGTGCGCTGTGGCCGTGCCTCCTCTGGGCTGGGCAAGGGCTCCGAGATGCGAGGACAAGGGAGCACGACGAGCCTCCGCGCCAGCCGTGGCAGGGGGAGGAAGCGACAAGTCGGAGCGAGCGGCGTGAGTAGTCTGAGCCTTCTGCAACTGTGACGACCTCCGTAAGAGAGGCCTGCGGCTGTGCCAAAAGGGCAACAGTCGGTCTCTTTGCTCGCTGCCGTCGCCTGGGACAGCCGTGGGCTCGGAAGCCGCCGTTTGGTACCCTGAAGATGCACCTGCGCCTTCGGCTAAAATCCACTGACGGGCTTGGCGGAGAACGTCGGAGGCTAAAGGGTACAGGCCGGGGTCTGCCTCGATGAAAAAGGTCCCCAAGAAAGAGTCCAGCCCGAGGCCGGGAAATCCACAATAGTCACTTGCAAGGCGTCGGCCAAGGGGGCAGAAACCCAATCTCCCTCCTCGGAAAGAGCAACGGCTGGGGCCTGGAGTTGCAGAGAAGGGCCTGGCCGAGTGGGGAGTCTGGCACACACAGCAGCAGGCCGTCGGCTCGAAGCATAAGGCGCTCTGGCCATCAGTGTCGGTGAGGGAGCCAAAGGAGCTCCAAAATCTCGACCTGCTGTCCGGTCGCCGGGGTCAGCGCAGCAAAATGGCACACGGGGGTACTCAGCAAAGGAGCGGAGCAGAAGGGGCTCCGATATCCCAGGGGTCCTCAGCACACAATAGAATCTGTTGCTCAGGTTGAGCCGAGGAGAGCTGTCCACAAAATCGCACTCCCCACGAAGGACCCTGCCAGCACCCAACCCAGCGGTCCAGGCTCTCCTGACACGACCTCGGGGGCTCAAGTTGCAGGCTGTCAGGGCACGGCTCGAATCGAGGATGTAAGCCGGGGGCTCCGAAGAGGGACTGGAGGAGCCTAGGGGCACGCGGCCCTGCAAGGGACGCGGAGGAGGAAGGAAAAGGCGGAGGAACTGCAAGGTCGGCCTCGGCAGTGTAGGGAGCGCTGGAAAGAGGGGGCACCTCTCTCCACGGGGAGCGCTTGAGACACGGGGGGATTCCTGCTGCAAGGAGGGCAAGTAACCTGACAAGGGGGTCGGCTCTGGCGAGGAAGGCACAAGGACAAAGGAGCCTGTGGAGGAACGAGGGGAAGGCTCGGAATGCACCTGCGCGCTACCACCCGTATCCACTACAACCTCTACTCCCTCTACCCCAACCTGAACCCTCGGCATGCAAATACCCGCGCAAGCGGGCAGCTCGGTGGCGGAGAGCTCCTGGTTGAGGTGAGGCTTCCCTAGCCGGTTCTGCAGTGTGCAGCGAGGGCCTCCAGTGAACACAATATATGTATATAGCCAGAGCCACTGTAAATGTCACCCCACAGAAAAAGCCCAGGAAATAAAAGCTCACCAGCAATGCCAGGCCTCTCCCTGACAATGGGAGGGGCAAGAGAGGCCCCACCAGTTGCTTTGTACGCCTTCTCTGAGCAGGGCCAGCGAAGTGGAGAGCCAAGCAGGGACCATGAAAAACCCTAACCCTGCTTCGAAGTTCTTGGGCCGGAGCAAATCCGGTAGGGTCGCTTCTACTCTCATGCACTGGTTGAAGCAACTCCAACACAACTAAAGCATCATACAAGTATTCAAACAACATGAAACTCACGCAAAAAACAAAACTAAACACTAGAGGCTTACATGCATCTGACAGCGATCCCTGAGCACGTGCGAGAGAGAGAGAGAGAGAGCGAGCCAGAGGGAGAAGAGTGTTTGGGGATATAATCTAGAAATGCAGAGAAGCCAGAGATTCTATAACTCGCAAACATTCCAAAACCTTTGGCGACCAAAGTTTGGAATTCCGGAATTCCATCAATTCCGAAAAAACCAAGAGCGCTAAAAACATCAAAATCAAAAAACTCTGAAAATCCCAAAAGTCTAAGGTGGAGCGTCGGAATTTTTGGAACTCCGAAATCCCAAAACTTGGCGCCGCAGGTTCAGGAATTTTTTTGGAAATTTCGGAACGTTTGAAACTTTTGGAATTTCCGGATTTATTGAAAATGTTGAGCACGTCGATATTTCATGTGAAAGGTTCGTGTTTGGGGGCGGGATTCGCATGCATACATACATGCATATATA